TTTTTTTTTTGTTTTTTTTTATGGTATATCAAAAAGTGTATATTTTTTAAATGTGATTGTTGGTACATTTTACCAGTTTTTACCATACTTTAAAATAGGAAAAATATGCAATATGAAAATAATTGAAGACAAAATGTGTTTTACTGAGAAAAAACAAGATTTGGTTTTTAAAAAGCCTTTTTCCAAAAGGTACATCTGGAAAAAGGGGGGTTGTCTTATAATCAGGGTCGTCTTATATTCGGACCAATACGGTATGACTTAATTATTACGACTTAGCAAAGCATGATTTTCTGACGCGGCAGTAATAAGCTTCCATATGTTTCACAGAGTATTTCACAATGGCTTTGAGCACACCTCAGACAGTCATAATCAAGGACCGGATCTATCTCTTTTATAATAACGTATAAAGTGTAAAAATTATTTTCAATCTGGAGCACTACAGGAGGAGAACTTGTAAAGGTAGTATTTGATTAAAGTCTGGATCAGTCTGAACATTGGCAATGAACACACAGAGAGAAAAGGCATTCGAATGTCAGCTTGACAAAACCGTACATAAAAGTTTAAAACAGCTTTAAAAAGTCTGAAGGTTACCGAATCCCTATGTAGTTGAAGAGAGTTATGAAGTTTGAATGTTTTATACAGCCTGTGGAATGCGTGACAGTTTGAAAGACAGTTGCTAAGGTATTACTAGTCAAACACACAATCCAGCTGAGAGACCTGATGGATTTAGTCTCAGGTTGGATTTTCTGTTAAGGCAGCAATGATGAGTACAGTATTATATGAGAGAAAAGGCAAAAGAATCACCCAAACAAGAGTTTGTCGTCAAGTGCGTTTTACTTCAGCTCATCAATAGCTTTTTCAACAATAGCAAATACCTCATCCACCGGCAGCTCAGAGTTAATCTGGAGGAGGAGAGAGAAATCATGGAGTTAAAGAGAGAACCGATGTCATGTTGGACTGAAGCATCATATTTCTCTCAGTGTTTCTGCTCACCTTCCTAACAATGCTGCACTTCTCATAGTAAGCGATGACGGGCTCAGTGGCTTTATAATAGAGATCCAGACGCTTCTTAATGGTCTCCTCGTTGTCGTCTGCACGGCCGCTGGTCTCTCCGCGCTTCATCAGCCTCTTCACCATGGTCTCGGCTTTAGCATCGACGTACAGCAGCAGAGCTGGAGCGCCGATCTGACAGACAGAGAGGTCTGAATGGCTTGTGATTTACTACTAATATAATTAACAGCATACTGAACTTACTCGTATGTTTTCATTGATTACACTGTTGTTTTGTACTGGACACGAATGTGAAATAAAACCATAATTTCATATTTCAACATTTGCTTTTTACCTGAAATGTTCAGCATTCTTTAATGGGTTATTAAAGCAATAAGCCTCAAGAAGCCGTGGTTTACAGTGAATTTCTAACAGTGACACGAAGCGGAGTGCCTAAACCCCCCTTAGCTGTTATAAATTCACTGTAAACCACGGCTTCACGGGGCTTATTGCTTTTATAAAACGGTTATTCCATATACGTAGTTAGGTACGTGTAATTATAATAATAAAAACAGTATTCTCCCACCAAACAATGTAGTTCCTCAGAAACAGTTGTGGTTGCAACAAAGTGGTTGCTGAGCAACACACAAAGTAAACAAAGGTGGGTAACACTTTACTTGAAGGGGTGTGCATAAGACTGATGTGACACCTTCATAATCATGACATGACACATGTCATGAATATGAAGGAGGTTTTATGCATGTTTATGACAACTGTCATTAAGTGTCATTCGCTCAGTTATGTCATTTTTAATGCAAATATGACATTATTTGACCTAACCCTAACCTAACCCTACCCTTACCCCTAACCATAGCCCATAACGAAGACATCTCAAACAATGTCATCTTTGCATTAAAAATGACATAACTGAGCGAATGACACTTAATGACTTTATGCTGTCATAAACATGCATAAAAAAACCTTCATATTCATGACATGTGTCATGTCATGATTATGAAGGTGTCATGTCAGTCTTATGCACACCCCTTCAAGTAAAGTGTAACCCAAAGGGGTATGTTTTTAGAGTAATTTACAACAGCTTTGAACGTGGCTCAACCAATCAGAATCAAGGACCGGAACTATCCGTTTTATAAATAGAATTGAATTGGACGTAAATGTTGTTATTTTTCAAATAAGAATACTTTAACTATGTATTTGTTTTATTTACACTAGTGGTCAAAAGTTTGGGGTCCGTAAGAACTTGATCAATGTTTTTGAAAGAAGTCTCTTCTGCTCACCAAGGCTGCATTTATTTGAACAAAAATACAGTACAAATTGTGAACTATTATTACAATTTAAAATAGATGTTTTCTATGTGAATATATTTTTAGAATGTAATTTATTGCTGTGGTCAAAGCTGAATTTTCAGCATCATTACTCCAGTCTTCAGTGTCACGTGATCCTTCAGAAATCATTTTAATATACTGATTCGCTGCTCAAGAAATTTGAATTCAAAATCGATTTTGAAAACAGTTGTGCTGCTGAATATTTTAGTGGAAACCGTGATACATTTGATTTTTCAAGATTCACAGCTGAATGGAAAGTTCAAAAGAAGGGCTTTTATTTGAAATAGAAATATTTTGTAACATTATAAATGTCTTTACTATCACTTTTGATCAATTTAATGTGTCCTTGATGAATAAAAGTATTTCTTGCAAAAAAAGCTCTTATTACCAGCAAACTTTTAAATTCTGGTGTATTTCTACATGCAAAAAAAAAAAAACCTGCTAAATTCTCTTATATTGTGTGGTTTATTACAAGACTCAATTCAATTATCACTCATATACTCAGTTATCAATTCAAATTTTAAAAAGTAGATGAATTCCAAATGTGAAATAATGTAAGGGTTTTGGGTTTGGCTTTATGTTAATGGTAAATAACTGTCAATGCTTTACTGTATGCACATATTTAGGATTAGCGGTAACACTAATTACTAATAACACTAATTGTTGAGCACTAATGGCGATTACATCTGCTCTGAAATTCACAGTTCAGCAATATTCACTTCCGATGAAATGATTTCAGTCCTGAAATCCAGCCATAAATGACACCATTTGCTGATATTGACATGTATATTGTCTTTGAGTTGGTGTGGTTTGTGTGATGTTGTTCTTTATACCTTCTTCTCAAACTCCTCTCCCTGCTTGACCTCACGAGGGTATCCGTCGATCAGGTAGCCCTTTGAGACGTCAGCCTTGGCGATCATGGCTTCTTTGATCATGTCCAGAACTGTGTCCTGCAGAAACCAGAGCAGCATCAGAATGAACAGAGTTCATTTATCAGCTCATGCTAGCGGGGCGTGACGTCAGGACTGAGAAATGCTTTTATCAAGGATGTGAAGGGTGATTGGACTGACCAAAGGTACAAGTTCTCCCTTCTGCATGATGGCCTGGAGCTGTTTGCCCCTCTCTGAGCCTGATGCCACCTCCGCACGCAGCAGGTCACCTGAGGACAGGTGAGTGTAGCCATACTTTGCCACAATCTTCTCACACTGGGTGCCTTTTCCAGAGCCGGGGCCACCTGACATAAGAACACTTTGATTTCAGCACAATGTGGAACTATTAAGATTTGTTATAAGTTGTTTTGAAAGAGGTCATCTGCGCACTAAGGCCGCATTTATTTGATCAAAAATACAGTACATTTTTTTTAATATCATTACAATTTAAAATAGATGTTTTCTATGTGAATATATGTTCAAATGTAATTTATTTCTGTGATCAAATCTGAATTTTCAGCATCATTACTCCAGTCTTCAGTGTCACATGATTCTTCAGAAATCATTCTAATATACTGATGTGATGTTCAAGAAACATCTCTGATTATTATCAATGTTGAAAACAGTTGTGCTGCCAAATATTTTTGTGAAAATTGTGATATGCGACATAAGATTTTTAAAGAAAAAAAGTAAAGTAATACTTCTATTCAGCAAGGATGCAGTAAATTGATTAAAAGTGACGGTGAAGGCATTTATAGTGTTACAAAAGATTTATATTTCAAATAAATGCTGTTCTTTTGAACTTTCTATTCATCAAAGAATCCAAAATGTATCACGGTTTCCACAAAAATATTGGGCAGCACAACTGTTTTCAACATTGATAATAACCAGAAATGCTTCAGGAAAAAGACTGGAGCAATGATGCTGAAAATTCAGCTTTGATCAAAGGAATACATTACATTTCACAATATATTCACATTGGAAAACAGCTAATATTTTATAGTTTTTATTGTATTTTTAAACAAATGCAACCTTGGTGAGCAGAAACGTTTTAAAATCGTAATTATTTCAAACCTTTGGCCAGTAGTATTGAAATACGACGGACTTTTGAAATGGATAAACAGTGTTAAAGAGCACGTTGCTTTAAATACAGTCCTGATAATACTGTTTTTAGTTATGTTACTTTTTTCTGTTTACGTTGCTTTGGCACGCAAAGGCGGCACAAAAGCAGCATGTGAACATGACAAGGTGTTATTAGGTATTTGTAAATCCATTGAAAGCTATTTGACAAAATCTTGCCTTCTGTGTTGATTCTCATGTAATATGAATGCCAGTATCCATGACAACAGCTCTGATGCAGCATTTCATTTACACAGAAGCATAAGAGCCGCTCTGATACGAGGAGAAGTGATGGCTCAGAGACATATGCATGCTTTACTAGGGGTTTATGTGACATTTACACTTATCAGCAAACAAATAGAACAGAAAACCACTGCATTATTTGAAACATACAGTTTTGAATGCATGCACACTGAAGAAAAAAAATAAATAACTGATTTGCTTTCACTCGGAAATTGCTAGTAAAATTTAAAAAAGTCATCTTTGATTATAACTTTGAAAAATCATTTTTACAGTGTATTATGATGCTTTTGTCATTCCTACAAAAAGCTGACCTGGTTTCACAACACGTTTCTCTCAGCACTGCTTATGATTATGAGTTTACATTCACAAAAGCATGCCTCATTTGATGAACGATTGTTAGCAGACAAGGTGAAAAGTAAAGGCAATTCAACTTACCCACCACAAAGACGATCTTAGCATCTTTAAGTTTATCTGTGACACAATGAAACATTCAAATCAGTCCAAACGTAGCATGTGAATCACCAGAGGCTGTGTTATTATTTGAAATCACTGCTCATGAACTCTCTGAGATCTCAGTACTATCAGACTGTCTTATAGCTTCTGGAGTCTGATGTTTTCCTACAGACATTGTGCTCAAATCATTTACCATCTGTCTTCAGCACGGCGACTGCTGATTTACTCAAGCAGCCTAAGCCCATTTCTGACCACAGTATTTCTGCTTCACACTGATTCTGCTCTTTCCTTCAGTTACTTCTGAATGCTTGAGTTCGCCATGGCAACTGTTGCCAACATGCTGAAGAGCTTCATCAAACAGGTTTGATCCTGAACTACTGATGACAGGTGAACAATGGCTGCAACCAATACAACATATTCCTTTATTTATTGTATTTTCCTTATATATATATATATATATAGTTACAATGTAAGATAATGTAAAAATGCTTAATGTACACCTTTAAGGCAGTACACTCACACATATTTTGCTATGTGTATGTTCAGTTTCAATATGTAAGATGTTCTTATTTTTTATTATTTATTCATTCATTATTTTAAAATTGAGTTGTATGTGTCTTTAGTTTCTCTTTCACATTCCCAGCTAACAGGGAATGTTATCGCAACTTTTTGAACTATAAAGAAGCTCTTGCAGTACAACGAATGTCCACATGAGGACATCAGAGACCATCAGATGTTGATGAATGATGAAGACGTTCATGTGCGTGTTTGTGTCGACTGTCACTGTTTATTTGCTCTTTAGTTCTCCATATTTGTGTTTGTCATTGAGTTTAATTATCAGACTCCAGTAACAGTCCTGTGTGTAAGTGTGTGTAAAGTTCAGAGCTGCTGTTCGTCTCAATCTGTCTGCAGGGCCCTCTTTAGGAGGCCCATGTTTGGAAGCCCTCATTGTGTTTCATGACAGTCTTGAACCAGTCTGATTTAACAAGCTCTACCATTTACTGAAGGCAGTTTCTATCAGGTGACTTCATAAAACAATTGTGAGTGTCATAAAAAATAAATAAATAAATCAAAATAACTAACTAAATAAATAAATATTTTTTAAAACATAAAATATTGTAGATGGAGATAAATTCTTACCTGTCATGGTTGTCTGTTATGTGAGAGATTATCCTATAAGAGCAGTAAAAAACAAAGATTAGTCCAGATAAAGAGTGGAAAAACTACTAAACACTAAGTACTACTAACTACTAAAGACACTAAACCCCATTCTCTGAACCAAATTCTCAAAAGCCTAAACCAATTTGTCAAATAAATCCCTCTTTCTGCAAAACATGAAACAAGTTCAGGCAGTTTAGACACTGTTTGCAGATCTCATGCACTCTTTTTACAAAACTCTAAACACATTCTCACTCACTAAAATGCAATTTGCACTGTGATAAACTTGTGATGCAAAGCCCTGAACGCAAGAAAGCTAAAGTTAACTGCAACACGGCTGTCATCATTTACACACAATAATTCAAAACTGTTCACATTTGTTTCTAAATACGTGAATGTACAAAATATAAGCCAGTTCAAAGTGCACAGATGGCACGGATGCATCCATCAATCTGAGAGGTACGGAAGAGTGAGTATACGAGGTGGAGGAAGAAGAGGACGAGGAAGAGAAAGACCAAGAACAGTCATTTCAGATGAAATCAGAACTACCGTGATAGACCATGTTCCTGTGCATGGAATGACAGAGGCAGGACAAAGAGCTCAACCTAATGTGAGCAGATTCTCTGTGGCCACCATAATCAGTTGGAAAGTTTAAAAGAACAGCAAAAGAAGAATGGAAAGGAATCTTGTGTAGAATTGCAAGACTACCACATTAGGGTAGAAGAACTGGCCTGTGGTGACATAAACATGCTTTCTTGTCAAGCCTGGATTCGCCACACCAGAGGGTTTTTTCCCCGTAGCTTGTCTGCGACGTATGTGTGTGTG